CCATTTCCCTTTAGTTCCCTTCCTTTAATGGAGGGCAGGTGGACAGTGACATCACTCTGCTGATCCTGGGATTTGAATTGCTGACCTTCTGATCATAGGCACAGAGTCCTCAACCTCAACTCTCCCTCCCAATCTCCAGGTGAGATAATGGCACAAAATTACCTTCATTTGAATTAATATGTAAAGGCATTGAATAGAAACATGAACAAATAACCAAACAATAAAAAGCATAGCCTTTTTGGCCTGGTGACTATGCCTAAGGATCATCAATCCCAGCTTGTGCCCCCAGCCACTTCGTGCCACTAATTCAATAACAAGCCCTAAACCAGGGGTGGGCAGTCATATCCACAAAGGGCCGGTGTGTATGCAGGTTTTTGGGATAACCTGTAGGTCAGCTGTTCAAACCCAGGTGTGGGGACTCTTCAGCCAATCAGTCCTCTAATTAGTGTTCTAATTAGGGAGTTGCAGCGAAAACCGGCATACATACCGGCCTTTTGCGGATAAGATTGGCCACCCCTGCCTTCCACAATCAAGCCCTTGTTTCTGGGCCACGACCCCCCGCCATCTCCACTCCCACCAATTAAGATCCCCTGGAAATTTCATTTGAATGCGATCGACATACTTTCCAGAGAGCGCACTTCACAAACTACTTCCAACTGAGCCTGTAGCTTCAGATTAGTAATTCTGAGAATGCAGGCTTTTTTCTTAACAGTGGAGAATTCGTTTCTCGATTTGGCCTTCTGGCTGGAGTAACAGCCCAGGCCCTTTGCTCTTGCTGGGCTATATTTCTCACCTGTCTCCTTCTATCACCACTTTTCCCTCCATTTTTCCTACCTTCAGTTCCCTGGGTACATGGCACTACTTTCCACACCTTGGGTCAGCAGTCAGAAACCCCCCTGCAGTCCCCCCTCCTAGTCTCACGTAAGCAGACAAATTTTACTTGCCAACCTCCGGTGCTGATGTCCCGGGCCGCCTCACCATGTCCCTGTGTGGCCAGGGGCAGGAAAAGGATCAGAAGCCACCAGGTCATGCCTTCCCTCAGGGTCCTAGGAGCATCAAGGAGAAACAGCGTAAGACAGAGAAGGATGAAACCAGTGAAGGAGAGGAATTTGTGAGCCTCGACACATATACAGCATCGGCTTGTGAAAGAGAGCAGATCAAACGGCCCGGCGGTCATGGGACGAGTCACAGGACGTGTGCATCACAGGACGGGCACAGTCCCCCTCTCCCCAAATCTTATTAGTCTCGCCTTGCATGCAGATCCACCACATTCAGTTCCAGCAGACCCCGCCTGACCCTCCTTACGTCATCCTGGCCTGTTTATGAAAGTGTAGCCATGTATGGATAATGGGGGACTGGCCAGCTCCTGTCTCACACACGCGGGACTGTCGGCCACTTCCCACGGCAAACGGCACTGTTTACCCCGCAGAACCGGAGAGTGATCATGTTCCAGGGCTGCATTGCTGGGCGTGACCCTCTGAAACCAATGACAAAACGGAGGGAAATACACCCAGGAACACACAAAGGCCACACCACCGTCACCTGTCACAAAGGCTGATGCGTTGTGTCAGATAGAACAATCTGGATCAGTGTAAATTCCAAGGCAGCAAAAATCCCATTACACTACAGCTGTAACCCTGAGATAGGCAGTAAAGGGACAACAACTGCTATTTAACTATAACATAGAAGAAGTGAGGTAATAGAGACAGGTACTGTGTAAGGGAAGTGAGGTAATAGAGACAGGTACTGTGTAAGGGAAGTGAGGTAATAGAGACAGGTACCGTGTAAGGG